ATATATATATATATATATATATATATTAGCACAGCTATATGTCCCTCTTCAAACTATAATACTGCAGCATAATTGAACACCCTGTTTTTGTTCAGTCTCGAACTGTTGAAGCAGAACAGCTAAAAAAGGATTTTCATGTGTTTGAAAACACACAGAAACCACAAGTCTTACCCAAGTATTCAGCTTGCAGGTAAGGTTAATATTTGATTTGAGTCCTTAGATAAAACAGACTTTGTATGGTGTTCTATCTCTTTTTAGCTTCTGATTCAGCTCATTTAGTTAGTGTCAGTTGCTTCAATATTCAGGAGTGACCACTTGACAACTTTTTTCTAGCTCCTGATACAACCAGGGTTTATTCCTGCATTACATTTTAAACAACTTCAACGTGGGAACAATCAGATCCTTGGGTCTGTTTTTTTTTTCTGTTATTATTATTATTATTATTATTATTATTATTATTATTATTATTATTATTTATTATTTATTTATAATAATTATCTTCTATAATTGCCTCTCCACTTTACAATCATATTCTACTTCATGTGGTTGTACTACATACATTCTAAAAATAAATATTTTGTATCTTGTTTAAACTTTAAAATCAGTAAAAAGTTCAATGCCAATAACCATGTCTTATAGGCTGTGTGTCAGATTATCCAGAGTTCTATCTTATGGTGTCAATAAAATGGTAAAAAGTAGCAATTTTCTCCTTTGAGGACTAATATCCAGGGTTTGTCAAGGGAACTATAGTTTTTTGTGCAACTTGTTTTTGGATCTTATCCAAAAGTTTATAAAACAGTGGAGAAAATTCCTCTCCACCACTGTGGCATAATTTCACAATCATTTCATAAAAGGCTTCATAGCCTGACGTTTATCATGTGCAATTGGTGCCTTGTTCCTATTTTCACCTGCCATTGCTCTCAATCAAACAAAGGTGCGGGTAGGAAGTTTCTTTTCATGTGTTCAAAGGTGACCGGTTGCAGAGCAATTTCTCTTTCCTTTTTTCCCACTCTTGCAGAAACAATAACTCTTTTAATTGAGAACAAATGTTGACATTTGAAGGGAGCAGCAGCAGGTGAAGGAAGGTGGGGGCAGAGACTGCCTCTGGTGCTATTTGACAACGCTTTCAAGCCCCTTGGGGTAGCCCACCTGAGAATAAAGCAAGCATTCAACAAACCTGCTCCTATTGAAAGCATTTTGGACTGAGGAATGAGAAGTTGGCCAGGGGCTATAACATCAGTGACTCCCATATACAGTAGGTACCTGCTTGATTGTTTAAAGATGATACGGGTGGGGGGCATACATCAAATCAAGTCATTGATCATCTGAAGGATAACATTATATTCAAACAGGAGTCCTTCATAATTTAGCTTGGGTCCTCTAAATTTGGAATAAATTATCAAAATATGACATCTGTCAATGTCACCTAATTTAAAGAAAAATATGTCTTTATGGTCACTGTTTACCTGATGATAGTTAATATTATGGCCTGTAAAAGATTGACAACAGTAGCAATATCAAGATGGGGGTAAGGAGGGCACCAGCAACCCCTATAATTTTCAAAGGTCAGGTCATCACACGCCTAATAAAATGCATTAAGGTGCAGGGATGCCTGACTTCTCAAACGTATACGGTACACAGTAAATGCTGCAGTGTTAAAGTAACACTTTAAGAGTACATTTGGTCCCACACTAAGTCACAGTAGGACGTTACTTTAACACGGCAACATTTACTGTGTACAATATGTACACTCAATATTTGGCTCGGGGTGTTTTTGCATCAATAATTTGATTAATGCAGCATGGTAGTGATCAGGCTCTAATACTGTTGAGGTTTTAAGGAACGAAAGTTTTCTTTATTAGCAGCATTTACATCTTCTGGATTATTTTCTGTTGTATCTCTTATCTTCCTTTTCATACCACCCATTATATTCTAGACAGGGGTTTACTTTTGGCATCATTGGCAGGTCCTCATTGAAAATGACATTTTTTCTTTTTTTTTTTTTTTTGAAGCACTTTTTGGAGTGCTTCAGAAACTTCCTGGAAGATAGAGGCACTGCTTTAACGATGAACTTGATGAAACACTCAGGAACATCAGCAGAGGACACAAATCATCACTGAGCTTTTAAACATTTAATGGACGATTTACTTTAATCTGAAAATAGGGTCTGCAGAGCAACCCTTGCTTTCGTACTTTTGAGCCCATGCAAAATGCACCTCCTTTTCAGGAGTTGCTTAACATAAGGAATATGATAACACTCTTTTCCACCAATTTTATTTCCACTAATCATTTCATTCATATGTGTGGATATCTTACTCTGTGAGAGCAGCCTCTTAATTAATCACCTTTTGTAGCTGGCTGCCTGTCTCTGGGGCAACTGCCATCTCAGCAGTCTTTCATAAGTGCATAGGCTATTGCATGTGTTTTTATAAAAGATTTCTGTATTGAAAATCCTTATTTTACTCGTCTCATTTTTTTAAACAAATTATTAGTTTTTTTAGCCGTTACACATCAACTTACAGTACATCTAAGCTAAAATAAATGCTGGGAGGGAATATTATTTGTTTCTTAAAAACACTGAAACTGAAAAAAGTATGGAATTTATAATTCAACATTAATGTAGAAATAAGGTAATATGTAAAATAGCTGAATAGATTTATCAATATCCTCAGAAGTGGGCTTGAGTTCTAATTGTTTAATTAGCTGTACTCTATAATAGCAAACGCATGATGAAAAGCAGGGGGAAGTCTCTCCGATTAGGCCCCATCACACAGCCCATTGAAGCTGGCAGATGCTTAGATAGACTTTTATGGATCGCTCGATGCTTCTGGCGCTGTAATGAAGCAGGCAGGGCTGACCTGTCCTGAACCAGGCTGAAAAAGCTCCAGGGACAGCCCCGCTGGGAGCCCATAATGCCCCCGATGTGTCCCCTCGGCTGTATTAATCACACTGAAAAAATAAATGTGCGGCAGGGCAAGAGTGGGGAGAGAAAAAGTGGAGGGGGGTTGGGGGTGTAATAAGTATGTCGTTTATCCCCATCAAGGTTGTGAATATTTGACCAAGGGAGCAGAATGAGGCCCTAAAAGAAAATGATTGACCATTTAGAAAGAATGGATTGTGCAATCTGTGAAAACTCATAATAGTTATGAATGCTATGAGTCATCAAGCATACCCCATCTGTGCTGGACTGACATAATAAGAGAACGATGAATGAGGATAATTCTAAAGAAAAAAAAGCTGTATTAAACACAAGTTGTATTAATAAAGTAAAGAATCTGAAAAATGTATGTTATAGTTGGGAAAAGGAGTTTAATATTTTGTCATTCTCTATATTGGATATAACACCCCACCTTTTTATTATATATTTACAGTCATATAAATTAGTAAAAGTACTCCTGATTGTGTGTCCCCACCCAAAAGAAGAACAGTCCATAATATATATATTCATATTTATATTTACAAAACAGAGGATGTCAGTTTTCCACCTTTGCAATACAACTTGCATAAATTATAGGCATTGTTTTGCTGTTGTTTTAAAAAAATAAATATCAAATGTAGGCTACTCCACTCTGAAGTCCTCAAAGTTCACTTCAGATCAGCTCAGCGTCCTAAGAAGTCTCCTCCCTTTCCCCTAACTACATTTCCTAGGCCATATGTTGTTTTTCCACACAGATATATAACAAATCATAATATAACGTGGCAAATATGCAATCAAGAGGAACCTGAGAAATAACATTTATATCACATATTATGGGAGATTATCAATAATGATAAAGAAGGAAACAATACAATGTAATGCGCCCGACTGAAAATCTAAACCTGTGTGAGACCTAGCAGCAACATTTAAAAAAAAGAATAAAATATGGTGGCACTAGATCCCTAGTTTGGAGCAAAAGGTCATGAGGGTTTAAGCATGTGACTAAAAAGGTTAAAGCCTTTCTTTTCCAAGCTTTATATTCTGAGCAATTGTGACACCTATCTGCAGGACAAGGAAATATATATCATAAAAACAGAATCCAAATAAATATCCTTGAAAAAAAAAATTCTCACACTGCTTTAGTTAGAAAAATCAAAGCAAATGAAATTGCAAGTGCTTAAAACTAAAAATATAACCAGTACCCTAAATCCTATTGAACAATTTCTGCAACAGCACATATGAAAGGTAAGCAATCCTCAAAATCACCCACACTGTAAAAATGTATATTTGAGGGAATTGAATATCAGCTATTAAAATTACTTCAATTTTAATTAAACATGTTGTGGAAATGTGATACTTTGCTAATTTAGTTGGGTAACAACTCCTACCTAAGCATCTTATTAGAATTTAACAGATCATTTTGATGTCAGATAATTACCTAATCTCACTTGTCATTTCGGATCCAGCTGAGAATTTTTTAAAGAAAATTATTTCTCACCATAATATTGTATTTTAAGACCTTCCACGAGGCTCATGGCTTTGATGATTTTAGTAGTTTGTTTACATCCAGCTTTAAGTTTAACAACACTAATGCTAAAGTTAAATTTGCAAACAATCTGAGCTTCCTAACCCTGAGGTAGTTGTTGCCAATAACCAGCACATCTGTGGCTGTCAGGGACAAAGTTACATTTCATCATGTTAGAGTAGATTTAAAAAGTTTAATGATTTTTGTCTTCTTCAATTAAATTGATAAATGGAAGCCACACAATATGAAAAAAAGGTTAGATGTAGTTCAAAATTAATTTAATATTTATTTATTCTTTTTAATTGTTGGAAATTTCTTCTTTTTGTTGTAGTAATTTTTAAGCTGTTAAACTGAAATTGCTACTCATTAACAAAGCAAGTCCTCATAAATAAAATTCATCCTTTTGCACCAATTTTATTGGCTAAATTCTAACAGTTGGGTTTATCTGTGAAAGTGACATTTAAAGACTTGTTGAAGTTGGACTAAGACTGTGCAGAGCAAGCTAATTTGTTTGCATTTGGCTGACCCTGTGTAATTATAATTATCCTAAGCTGAAAGATAAGGTTTGAAGCCCACTGTGCACACACCACACTCTCTCTGTGCCCCCTCACACACACACCCACACACACACAAAGGAAACAATAAAAATAGAATTCCTGCTCAAAGCTATGGCAACATTTCTCTGCTTATTGGATTCAAAACATACGCTTATGAGCGTTTCTGTGGGTGTGAGTCTGGGTATGTGTGTGTGGTTGGGCTTTTTTGAGGCCTATCCTTTACTAATATACTGTGGATGCTTCATTTCGCACGTTAATTTTGTGCTAAATGATCTTGTTACTTTTCGAAGCCAAGCTTGTTGTCTTATTCCTCTGAGAAATAGATATCTTTTTTTTTTAATGAGTAAAATTCTAAATGTGAATAATAAACTGAAATTATTAAGAGACGAGGCTGCTGGATGTTTTTTTCCTTAAAAATATGTTATCATTTTCTCTTGAGACCACGAGTCTCTTAAAAATAACAAAAGTATATGAATGTGGTTAAGTGTCGCTTATTCTTACTCCAGAATCAAACCTCCAACTTTCCGATTTTTTGTTTTTTAATGCAAGGCAAACTCTCCCTACAAGAAAGTAACGAGAAAACGAAAGTGAGCAAAAGCAGAACAGTTGTTTTGCATTGAAAACATTTAAACAATTGCATGTTTGAACCACTGTTCATGTGAAATACAATTTCAAGATTATAATAATAATAAAAAGAAAAAAAAAGATCTTGAGTTTTTTTTTATTTTAGAGTTCTCCACATTACGTACCTTTCTTTGCTTCTATATTTGTGGCTCTGAAATGCTGCTGCTCGACTGCAGCAATCTGGTTTGAGTTATTTTTGAACGGGGGGGAGTCTGGCTTGAGTTTGTTTTCCGCGCCAGCCTCTGAAGCCCTTAGAGAGGCGCTCAGACCCTCGTTTGCAGCCGCTGCGGCGGCCGCGGCGGCTGCCAAACTCACTCCAGCGGAGTTGGTGTACCGCAAGATCCCTTGCCCCTGCAGGGGGCTAAAGTTGCCGTAGTTTGTATAATTGCTATAAAACGGGGAAGTGTAATAAATAGGTCTTCCGAGGATGGAGGGGGTCGGGTAAAGTGAAGGGGAGCTGGCAGCCGGTGTAGTAGCGGAGGGCGTCGGGGGAGTAAGGAGTCCGCTGTTGGAGGAGGGGCAGCTCGGTTGTTCCGGCTGCCCCTGTTGCTGATGCTGCTGCTTTTGGTCCGAGGTAGCAATCTCGGCCAGAGACCACAGTTTGGGTTTTGCTGAAAGATTCTGAGGCGCCCCGGACGAATTGGGCCTGTTGTCCAGGCAGGAAGACAACTTACTGGCGTTACAGTTCATGAGGCTGCGAGTCAAATCCTCCCGCTGGCTGTGGAGGTGGTGAAGGTGATGGAGGTGGTGGTGCTGATGATGGTGATGGGTGAGAACCGGAGCTTCCACGCCCGTCAGCGGCGACGAGGTGACGGGTTTGGGAGAGAGACCTTCGCGACGGTCGCGGCTCTGATCCACGCTGTCCACGTTACACTTGTCCACATCGGAGCTGAGCTCGGAAGCGCAGCCGACCTTTTCCCCGTCAGACTCCGCAGAACACGAGTGGTCCGTCAGGGTGTCGACGTGCAAACTGATGCCTGAGACAAGAGGAGAAAATGTAAATAATTACAAAAAACAAAAAAAGATAAAAACTATAAAAATAAACAAAAACGCAAACTACAAAATCTAGAAAACAAAACTTTTTGAACTTAGATAATTAACAGTGCATCAAACTTTTTGGTTAGATTTCAAATTATATAAAAAAAGATTAAATATTAATATAATTTATTATTGTAAAAAAAAAATATAGGCCTATATGTTTTACATATATAATAACAAAGTGTGTATCACTGTTGTTATAAAAAAATAAAAGGCCCTTCAGGAAACTTAGAGTGGCATCGTTTTGGCCCTAATAATTTGTCGCCATGTTTTGGTAATAATTAAACTTTCTTTATATATTCTTAATATTCCTAAAAGACATTAATCCTATGTCATAAATGAGCGTGGGTAGAAGGGGGAGGGAGTGTGCCTGCTCGTGTACAAGCTTCAATAGTTAATTTGATCATTGGCTCTGCGTGTTGCCACATCACACCCCACCTTCGTCCTCTGCCGAAGCCTCGCTGTTATCCAGGGTTTTGTCAGAGCGCTCCGCCTCCTTCCTCTCTCCGTCTCCGTCCTCTTCGTCCTCGTCCTCGCTCTTGCTACGGGGCGCCCAGGTCATCTTGTTTTCCTTTTTCAGTCTCCTTCTGGCATTCGCGAACCAGGTGGAGACCTGTGTCAGGGTCATCTTAGTGATGATGGCCAGCATGATCTTCTCTCCCTTAGTCGGGTACGGGTTCTTCCTGTGTTCCTGTAGCCAGGCCTTCAAAGTGGCCGTGGCGTCCCTGGTGGCGTTCTTGCGGTAAGCCGGGTCGTTTAGTTGGTAGGGATACCCCGGACTCCCGTATGGATGGTAACTGAGCGCCCCGGCCATGCCCGCTGTGTGCGCGTCATACGGAGAAGACTTCAGGGGGAGAAAAAGTTGGGAACAAGTCACGTTTCCATTAGGGAATTATTCCAACTGAGTTACAACATTGATTTAAATTTGGTTTAAAAATATAAAAAACCTATCTGTGCTTCTCTGTTTGAAATAAAACATTGATGGTACAACAACAATTACGCATTAAAAAATAGGTGTTTTATTCGATTTTAAGTCGTTTTATTAAAGTTACATTAATAAGCAGTTTAAAACATGCAACTCAAAATAAGCAAAAAAATGATAAGCATGTCACATGTAGTATTTATTCCATTGTATGCCGATGGAATAAATACCTTAGACAAGTTGGCAAGTAAAATAAAAGAAAATGAGCTGCAAGGAGTACAGTCCAAATGCCGTGCGTAAAAGCAGGCCGCACCCCCCTCCCCTCCAGAAAAAAAAAAAACACAAAAAACAAGAATAATTTAATGCTAAATAGTTGGTTAAGATCATTATCGGATTAGCTAATAACAGAGCTCCAGATAATGCGGCAGTGAGGATCACACTGATGGAAATGTAATTTTGCGTAATCACCCATTAACTTGCTCATTTTCATAAAGTCGAAACATTTCCTGTTTTTACTTTTTGTTTTGTTCTGTTGTTTCTTTCCTAATAGGTTGACAAATCCTCTCCTTGCAGAACTGCAAATCCCATTAACAAATCACTCGATATACACCTCTTCCAAAAAAAAAAAAAAAAACGCTCTTGAGCGCTTTTGACATGATCATTGCTTTTTCTTTTTCTTTTTTTTACAAAAATGGTACAACTTAAGAACAACATATCAATTGCATCTATTTTAAAACCAGAAAATATAATATATTATTTTGTGTATGTCACAAATATCTTCCTTTAGGATTCTAAACTTGTCAGAATAAAACTATTTCGCAAAGCTGCGCAGCGAGAGTTAAGCGGTGGTCAAGCTATTTCAATCTTCAGCTCATGCCTAAAATCCCATTTAAGTGGAGCGGTTGAATGACTTTGAAAGTAAGAGCCTCTTCCAAGACACCACTTCATATAAATTCATAGATCTCAATGTAGAAGTTCGCACTTACTGATCTTGAAATGGGAAAAAAAAAAAGCAAATATTGCAAAACGTCCATTTTTGGGGGACACGATTAAGACTGTGCGCCGACTAAAACAGATAAATCCACTACTTTATAATGTGCGGTAACATACATTAGTTATTTTACCATGTAGGATGGGAATCCCGTCGCAGGATCTGTGGAGTATGACAGTGGGCTGGAGAACCCCGCACCAGCCGAGGCGGAGAAAGCGGCCGAGCCTGGATACGGGCTGAAGGCTGAGCCAGAGGACGATCTCGCCAAGTCCTCATTCCGCGGAGCAGCCAGAGCCGAAGCCCCGTAAGCCGGACACGAATAAAGAGCCAGAGAGCCTGGGGGCTGGTAGAGGTAACCCTGAGGATAGGACATTGGTGAGCGCAGTACAGTTCACCGATCCCCCCCCACAAAAAAAGCAGTAGGGAAAAAGGGGCGCACAAGGCGGTGGATAACAACGGCTAAAATATAAACAATCAACTCAATTATCAGCTGTGCAAACAGTCATCAAACAGTGAAAGTAAAAAAGGCCTCCCTCAACAGCCCCCTTACTGAGAAAAAAACCCCCCGAAAGATCTGTTAAAGTGCCCACATAGAGGTAATGTGGCATGCGTCTTGATCCCCTAGCGTCCGATGTTTTTAGTGCGCGGCGCTATGAAGTGAGGAGTTGGGAGGGAAGGAGCCAGTTGAGTTTCAGACACACACAGAGCATTGGGGGGAACTGGAGCTGTCACTCCGGCTCATCTGAATATCCCATCCCCGCCCTCTTTGTGTTGGATAGAAATGGAGCCTCCGAACAAAACCAGCACTCCACACGGGAAGGAGAAGCTTCTATACTAAACTAGAGAGGACGCAATTTCATTTTTCGTTTGCTTGTTTGGATTTTTATAAACCTATCCATCTCTTGGTTTATTCTGGATAGATGTTCTAGTCTAGATATGTTAAGTGCTGTTTTTTTGTTTGTCTTTTTTCTTACTTTTTTTTGGGAGGGGGGGACTAAACTTTATAAGTTTACGAATTGTTCATATTTTTTAATTACATTAGAAAAAACGACAAACAGGGAATGCTGTAATTTCCATCAACTTCTTCAAACTTTCTAACCTGCAAGTTAAATAGCTGGATTCGTTCAAAATAGAAATATAAAATGTCTTCTGACAGGCAGGTGCTCATTTAATCATATGCAAGCAAGCAGCCAGAGCAGTGTGAGCGCACCTCAGGTTAAAGCACACTCAGGCCTGCAGGAGTCGCATTCACCTCTTCAAGTCCCGCCACTTGGAGCATTTTGATACAACAATCCCACTTATTATTTATTAAAACGCTGTTGGTAATGGATAATTCTCACATATGGAGATTACTTGAATCTTCTCTAAAACACACACACAGTAGTGCACACTTTGCTTTGGTGCAATTTGTCAGAAAGTGGTCGCGCTCTAGTGTAAATGAGATTTCAGGCTCCATTCACTATTCAGTGTTGTACCTTGGTCTTTATATCTTAATAGACATGTCTGCAAAAGTTGTTTTAGAACCGTAATTCATTACTTTGCATACTAAACATATTTAAAAGTCTGATGAGAAGTGTTACCTTTTGTTCAAACTGTTTTAATTTTAAGATAGCTACTTTTTTTGATACTGCTCCATAGTGAGCTGTGCATTGTTTTTTTTTTTGTTTTTTATTTATTTGTTTTTTTTACAGAAATGTGTTTTCTTATAGGCCAAAGACCAGCTTTCACACGTTACAACCCGAAAAGAACAACAACAACAACAACAAAAAGTGCTATAAACTCTGTTGGTAGCCTCAAATGTTTGCTCTGAGTAAAAATGTTTGTCCCTAATTTTAATACTTTTTGAAAGAAGCTTTATAAAAGCATGGTGGGTTCAGGTGTTTGAAAACATATAATATAACAATGGGTTTATAAAAATATCGGAGCAGGTATTCAGGTTTATATTTCCAGCTCTTCAAAAGTAATGTTTCAAACATTATCTCCAAATCACAAACGTATACATCTTTTGGTTTTGTTGGGTCACCCCAAGATTATAAGTGCCCTCTTTCCTACCACTTGATAAAACTTTGTAAAATGACCCCTCAGTCAATGTTTAACAAACACACAACCTACACTTAAGTTATGTTTTTATATCAATTCTGGATTTGATTCCAACCTTTGTTTAATATAAAAAATAAAAGTCACTTTTGAGATTACATGCTCACTAAAATCAACAAAAGTTATAACTCAAAATGTGAGTTATATTTTTCCCCTGCAGAACAGAGTGCAGTGTTTCTCATAAGTTTATTTCTTTTTTCTTTTAAGGGACAAATGCATTTAACATTGCATCATAAAATAGGTTGATGCTATATACAGATTTATAGTATTGGCTAATTTTAACCCTTTTCCTGCTGAACAGTTTAAATGACTGTTTGCTTTGGAAATACTGCTTTGTATTATTTTAGGTACATAATTATGTTTTCCAATGTTTCAGACAGATTTCATTAAACGCAAAAGATTTAATAGTCAAAAAAAGTTGATATATGCATCAATAATAGTACTGGTTGGTCCACACTAGGGGGCACTGTCTCCTCTATACACGGGCATGGTTTAACATTCCCACTTTTCTGTACATCAGTGAGTGATTATGCGCATGCATGCATTGTCTGCGAAAGCGTAGATGTGCAAACACATAATAATGGGAGCATGTGCATGCAGATTATAAATGCATGCACACATGAAAACTGCCATTGTATAAGTGCACCTGTTGACCTGTTAAAGCACACTTTAGGTGTCTGTGGGGGTGTCTGTTAAACTTCAGACTGGTGCATTCCAGGTCTCAGTTTCACACAGACTGCAACTCCAAATATATCAGCCTGTTGGAGATATAGGAGATGGAAGCTAAGAGACTCACAGACTGACAGAAAGATGAGGCAGACTGAGAAAATGAGATGGCAAAACAGGATCGTACATACAATGAAGTGGGTAGATTAAAAAGGGTCAAACAGGAAAAAAAAGGGCACATCACTATGTGAGAGGTTATCACCCATTAAGAAAAGATATGTAGAAATTACAAAAAATCTATATTTTTAGCTCAGCAAAAGACTACACAACAGTAATGACGCTGATGAAAATTATAAATTTCAATTGGTTTGGTAAATCAGAGAGTTTGAAAGAATGTATTTTCCTTATGAGTTTTGTCCTTAAAGTTTGAATTATATAGGTAATTATAATTCTTCTGGAGTCTTGTTACAGCTTTAAACCATATATAGTGATTGGAAACATGTAATAACTCCTAAATAGACTGAAACACTTATCTGTTCTTTATATTACACTAAGCATAATGAACCACTAAACCATAAGAACATTATAAGTAAAAAATATTGATTGTTGGAATGTGCAAATATATATTTGTTCTACATGAAAAATAAATTATAAAAAGTGATTTACAAAATGTATTAAAAGGTGCTTACAAAAAAAAACAAACTCCAGGGAAGTTGTTGAGAACACCACAGACATGGACTGCATCGGTAAGAGTAACACATTTTAATATTATGGATCTAGAACCTGTACGGTATATATTCATTTTACCAGATTTCAATGCTTATTTTGAGTGTTAGTCCCCTATAGTGATGGATACACTTGAAAAGAGGGTAGGATTGATAGATTGGTGCTGATTTTTTTACACACGTGATTGCTTTATGTCATGTGTGAATTATGGCACATGATACAGATAAAGACCCATGTATGGGGTTCTTCAAACCTCCGTTCTCAGGTCACTTTTTTCAATACCTACAGTATAGGTTCTCTAAATTTGCCATGCCTGACACTTTTTTGCAAGATACCCGGGTAAATATTAAGAACATGCAGAAGCTATCCGTGTTAGTGCTCTGCAAGCAGCAGCAGCGAAATAATAAAGCATGTTGATTTAAAATTTGTTTCAGGGCCATTCTACTATTGAGCAAGCTTTTCTTAAACATTGTTGCTTAGAACTCTGTATTAAGTTGGTTAATCAGGTAACATTTTCTCTCTATTGGGAATATTTAAGGAATTTTACATCAAAAGAAGTGTTGTAGTCACTTATGTCAATATAATCTTGCATTACTTGAGAAAGCATGTGTTATGATCTAAACACACTCACTCTACTGAATTCAGAAACTCCCAAAGGGCTCAATGTTTTATTCTCTGTGGGCTGGCAAAGGAATGTTCAGTATCTTAAACCTGCAGAAAAGCACAGCACGCTTGTGTGTTGTGTGCTTATGTTTATACGTGGGCGTGCACAAGAAAGGAGAAAAACTGCATTGTGATCTTTTATTGCACAACTTAGCTGTGCTGACTTTGGCGTCTTGTGATCAAAGCAACTCACAAAAACTCTTGAGATCACTGTAAAACAAAAAACAAAACAAAAAAAAACACTGCTGCAGAACATAACTTTGTTTATCTGTCAGTTGATCACTGATGCTTCAGTTTGATGCACCGCTGCAGTTCACCCTCTTCCTGCATTCGGGTTTGTCAAGAAAATCTCTTATGTGTGATTTGTTTGTATGTCGGGGGAGGGGTCAGTAGGGGAGGGGGATTAGGAGTTGGGTGGCAGACTGGCGACAGGCCGTCATCTCTCTCCCCGCCTGGCATCTGCCCACTGCTGCCAACCCTCTTCTAATCAGCAGCCGTCCATGCGCTTGGCAGCAAAGGAGGTTTGAAATCAGCCCCTCGCCCCAAGTTAAAAACCGTAAGCCCTATCACTTTGTAACCGGTACCTTTAGGGCGACTGAAGCTGGGGTGCCTCTGATGTGCTGGAGTGGAGAACATCGGTTGCCACATTGCTTCAAATACATTATGCTGCTAGCACTGTTGTTGCTGTTGTTATTGTTTCTATAGTATTTTTCTTAACATCACAAGAGTGTTTTTTCTTGAGGTTTGATTTGTTTAGCATGCTGTGAACAGACACGGACATTGAAGAAATGGTTCTTAGAGAGCAAAGTAAGACAGTAAATGGATGGGCTTAAAGCATGATTTCTCTTTAAAATAACCAGGAAACAACATCCTCACTTGAAGTGAAACACAAGTAATTTTGCTTTGCTTTATTTTGACATGTCTGAATTTGTGAGACAAGAGGAGCAATTTGCATGTGTGCTGATTTATAACATAACTATCTCCCAGTACTATTGCATTGCAAACTAAAGTGTCTAACTAAAATATTTCTACCCTGAGAAATTTTTCATTTTTTATTGTCTGTGTTTTCATAGTGCAGCATGCATCTGTATTTAACATACTGAGTTAACCCACTGTAAGCTCATTGTCTAGATATCTACTATTTACTAAAGCTCTGTTTTTTACCATTGTTGCTCTTCTTAATAATGGCCTTTTAATGCTATCTTTTTCAGCCTTTATTTAGCTTTATTGATCTTCCCATCATCATTGAGAAGTCTCCTAGTCTTTATCTTAGATGGTTCCTAAGATAGGTATCCACAGCATAACCCTTCCACCACTATGTGACACCATAGGGATTTTGTGTTTAGGGTGATATTATGTTAAACTTTGCCTAACACAGAGCACGCCCAAGGCACAGCAAACTAAGCCACTCCTTAAAGCCCCCAAACCTTCTGGGCCTTCCATAAAAGTTTGAAATAAGTACTTCTGACTTTCATAAAGACCAAATATTTAAAATGTATTTATTGTGGATAAGGATACCATTGTATTTGATTTGA